ATGTTCGCAGCTGCTGACCCAGGGTCTTCTTCGGCTTTCTTGGCGCACGTGGCTTGCTTGCTGTTTGTCTTCAGCTCCAGTGGTTCAAGCGGCCCGGAAAGGAGCCATGGATGACTTCTTGCAAAGCACCAGCAGCTTTTCGTTCAATGACTTGGTAGACCAGGATGAGAACAATGCCCGACTTGGACAAGTGGAAGCTCCTGAAGATTTATGTGGCGAGCGTTCTAAGAAGTCTAAGAAGAAAAAGGTCAAGAAAGATGAGGCAAAGGACCACGACCTCCCTGCGACCAAGACGGCGACGAAGTCAGAGGACAAAATCGCAAACGAAGACTTGATCGAGGACGACGAAGTTTGGCAGGCGCAGGATGACCCTTACCAGCTGCCAGGCGAGGATGTTGGCGAAGACAACCAGGACGACAACGATGAGTTGCCATCTAAAAGGGCGATGCAGCGAGCATTGAGAGGCTGGACCCGCCGGTCTGGCGGTTGGAAACATCGGAAAAAACCCGCGGCTGCTGGCAAAAGCCCGGCGCAAGGTCGTGGCAAAATGCTTGGCCTGATAGGCGGCTACTCGCAAAGTGACTTTCACTGTTCAGGTCCAAGTCCCATGGCAGATGTTTAGGCAGTGACAGTGAGTTTGCCGTGGTTGTTTTTTAGGTATGCTCAAGCCCTTCCTGTACATCCGCCGCCTCCGCGCCAGCTATGTCGGACAGGTCCCGCCGAAAACACGATGGAGATCAACGTGACAACCAAAGGCCTCCGGAGCCCAGGCACCCTCCTTCGACAAGCGCGCTTGGCCTCACAGTTGCGCCAAAACCCGCTCCAAGTCCAGTGTTGGCCCCTCGCTACCGCAGCCGTGGTCCAAGTCGGCCAGATGCTGAAGGTCCTGGCCCTGATGATCGGCGCGGGCGAAGCCGAAGCCGAAGCCGGCACAGGCGTCGTCGACATCGTCGGGAGGAGAAAGCTTTGCCTGCAGAGGGTCGCCGAGAGGAGGATCACAAGAAGACCGCGAAGAAGTCTGCAACAAGTTCAGCCCCAGCTCCTAAGCCACCCTCGTCGAGTTCTTCAAGTGACAGTGAGGAGGAAGTTCTTGTCGAGGAGCACAACAAGTCGGCGCAGGCTCAGGCAAAGGCATCCTCGCTGGTGCCTGCGCCCGCTCCTGTGGCTGCTGTTCCTGTTTGGCTGCAAGGCAGGGTAGACAGCCTGACCCGCAAGGCAGCTGTCTTCAGCCGTGCTCTCACGAGAGCTTCACAGGCTCTCAGAACGTCAGCAAGGATAGCGAGAGAAGCTGCGCAATCCTTTGAAGCCGAATTGGAGAACTTCCAATTAGCCCAGCGTGAGGTGGACAAGGAGTTCGGCCAGGCAGCAGAGTCGGACTTGGAGCGCCGCAACTGAGTGAGTGGCAAAAAACCCGGCAAAAGACCACGCCGAATTGACACCAGTCGGACAAGGGACTTGAGGTTGAAAAAAGTTTTGGGTTGTTTGCTGTTGCCGGCCAGCCTGTGGTAGCTTAGGTTGCCAATGGCATTTTTTCACCTTTCAGATCCGCATCCCGTCTCTGCATGTTTTAACTCAGCCATAGGGGAAGATGGTGCGGTTCACTCTCGACAACCTCTGGTGTGTTGGTTGAGCCACGGGCGTGCTTTGAAACTGCGGTTGGATTGTGAGCGGGCAGCGAGCCTTGGTTTTCTTGAGCCAAAGAACGAGAGGCCATGTATTTAGGCCATGGTTTGGTTTTGCGTGAACTCCTCTTCAAGTTCAAAAGAAAAGACTGCACACATGAAAGCAATCTAACATGTGAGAGGAAGGAGATGTGGTACAATCACAGAAACATTCGACCGGGTGCACGGAGCAATCTTGTCTCAGATGTTGGAGGGGAAACGTGGTGAAAAAACCTTCGCTTGGCTTCGTATTCTTTCGCATCAGAGAACGCTGCCTTCGGCGTCGGTTGCAGTTTGCTGCCAACACTTGGCCTCGACGCGTGCTAAGCGTCATGATCCAAATGTCACATCAAGAATGCATACGATGTTACTTGTTGCCGTTTTGTTTGCTTCAAGAGGGACCCAAGGACCCCAAGCAAGAACCGTAAGTTATACAGCTATACCCTTCTAATATCCCACTTGCCGCTCGACGGGGGCCTACGACTGCCCGTACCGGCGGTTCTCTTGACCTTATACCGTTCTACTATTCCACTGCCCGCTACGGGGGCCTACCACTGCCTGTGCCGGGGGCTCTATTTACCTTACATGCTACTTGTATGCTACTGACTTCCTTGTATGCTACTTGGCAGTGATTAGTTGATAACAGGTGCCTCCCACGACACTGCAGAAGGACGGAGCAAAAAAAGTTATTTTCAGAGTCGACGCTGATGGCAGGACTACTATATTAAATTACATCAACTTCAGTTATAAGGCTCGTCGTGTCAGTGCTAAGTATTTTTTAACCCTTTCTTGTAAGTGTCCGCAGTAAAAGGTGGACTTAGCTGTTACTAGCACTTAATAGGGATGCATGTCGGCCCTGGAACGTGGACAAGGGTTCATGTTGACTTTTGCCGCTTCCCGCTTCAGGACTTGGAATGCCAGCAGCCCTGAACGAATCAAAGAGACAACAATTCCAAATTCCGCAGCATCGCTGCAGAAGTCAAGTGCACACAAAAAAAGCCCCAAGACAAAAGAAGCAAAGCGCACTTGGCACTTCCGTATGTTTGAATGTTGCGCTGTTACACCTTCCTTTCGCGGCCCGGGCGCTCGTGAAGAGCATGGCGTGGGAGCGCCAAGCGACGAACAAGCTCCCGAATGATTTCGACATACAAAATGCACATGCATGTCGCTCACAGGTGCAGAAGTGGCAGGCTGGAGTGGCTGGTGCGACCAGAGTCAGGGCCGGGCGCAACATGCGAGACGGCGCAGTCTTCTATGCTTATTGCACTTCTCACCAGCAATGCTCTTTTGTGTGGCGCCATGAATTTTCCACGGCAGAGGCTGGCGGAAAGGAGCACGAAGTCTGTTCCAAAGGAATCCATGCGGAGGAGCCGCGCAAGGTGCGGGGGGACAGCTGTGGATGTGAGGGAGCAAGCCAACGCGTTGACTCAGAGCAACACTCCTATGCAGGCTACGGTGCGGCTCGTGGAGAAGGGTGTGGACGTGGAAGAGTGGCCATCCAAAGCAGACTTGACAAAGGCCAGGAGACGAACCACCAGGCAGCCGGACAGGGGAGCTGAAGCGGGAGGGGGCACTACCTTGGGGCAGTGGCTGGAGCACCTCAAAGAGATCGATGACGCAGAGACACCGTGGCAGACTATTGCACGGGCAGATGGCTGCGGAGTTGTCATGTGCCAAAAGTTCGCAGAGGTTACTTGAATGTTCACACTGATAGAGGGTGCGGTGCACGAGCCAGTTAGGCCTGTGTTTGCTTTTTGGTGGTGCCCCAGGTGTAGATGCTCTTTTGCTTTTGATCGTGTGTCAAGCAAGGTTGCAGCCGATCTTATTGCCCAAGCCCAAGGGGGAAGCAGGCAGTGGGCATTATCTGGTTGGCGCGCATGATTGCACCTACAAAGTTTTCTCCAGCGACTGGGGGTTGTGGAAGTTTTGTCTTGTGCAAGAGATATGACGAGGAAGGGCTGCCGCGCACAAGCTTGGCGACGATTGCTTTGGGGTATGTGCCCAAGGAAGGGGAGGAGCAGATGGTGACGGTTCTGCACCTTCTGAAAGAGTGGCATGAGCAGCGCGGCAACAAATTGGGCGAAATGTTGCACCAAGTGCATGCAGATGAAAGCCAGGCTGGGCAAAATGCCTTGAGAAGAGTCTTTCCCGGCACTGTCTTCATTCTGGATGTGAGACACCAGCTGGCCACGATCGTTCGGCGTGGTGGAGCTAGCAAGGAGACCAAGAGCATGGTGGCAGCAAATTTACAGTTCGCATTCAGTGCGCTAGGCTTTTCCCAGCCCCTGTTCCATCTCTACATTGACAGCCTCCTGCAGCGCCTTGTGGAATTAGGCGAACTAGATTTCGCGCAGTACCTGCAGACAGAAGTCGTCGAGAAAAGGAAGGTTGGCTTGGAGGAGATGTGGACATCCCCATGTCGATGCCATGTGTCTGTGCTTGGCACCCCTCCCAAGTTTCAGTCCCAAGACGCCGCTTGGTGCTAGACAAAGAAGAGGGTTGGACAGAGGGAGACGTAGGAAAAAGACAGAGAGAGGGAAACGGAGACGGAGAGGTGTGCAAGAGAGGTAGTTTGCAACTGAGGCAACGCCCGGCCTGACCGCCCTGACTGTCTCGCAGTCCTTGGAAGCTTCGTGGCAACACTTGAAAAACAAGTTGCCGATAAATGTGGCGAAGCTGCCGAGTACGAGCGCGTTGGATCGTGTACTTCAGGCAACAGAGGCGGAGGCCCGAAACCTTGCTGTAAGTTAGGTTTTCCAGCGACCCTCATGTAGGTTTGTGGTCCTGCAGTGCTATGTGTAACTAGCTGTGAGTTGCTTCGTTAAGTTTTCGCGAAGTAGCTGGAATGTTAAAACTGCGTTCAGGGAATCACTCGACCCATCTTCGTTTCGCTCGAGTCTCAAGACCAGATTTGTATCTGAGTTTGGCTACCAGTAATATCCATGGTGATGGACTTTTAACACTACACTTGGTTCGTCGAGCCGAGTCTTTCACAGAGGTGAACAGCCACGGGCCGTACAAGCTGAAGGTGTGCGGCCTGAGTCAACGTCTGGTCAGCGGAGCGGCCGTTTTTTACCGAAAGGATTGGAGTCTTAGAAGAGAAGCAGCTGAGACTTCCATGTGCCAAGATGCTGTGGCAACATTGCCCGTCTAACACAAAGACGTTCGAGTTCAAGCCCGGCGAGCTGCCCGAGGTGTTGTCCGCCTTTGTTGTTCCACTCTCGCAAGCAGGTATGGTCATAGACCATGAGGTTGCTTCTTGCATGATCTCCTTGGTGCGCCTCTGCGAGTCATCGGTGGCGCAGGTTCCCTGTGAGCGCGATAGGAGTTAAAGTTTTTGGGTGTTGGGTGTCAACGCTTTAAATTAATCAAACCCGCAACGTAGCTTCATGAGCGCAGACAAGCCATCAGGTGCGAAGCGAATTGGAGAAAGCCCCTGGGTTGTGGCATGCCGAGGCTGGCCGATTGTCCTTGACGACGTTGAAGGAAGTGTTAGCCAACGTCTGCGTGGTGACCTGTTGCGCTG